AAAGACCAAACAGCAAACAAAAAAAACACGGGTTCCATATAATATAGTAATTTCCATTTTCTTTTCCATAATCCCTATATAACCCCAATATATTATAGTGGTTACCATTTTCTTTTCCATTATCCCTATAAAACATCGATATAATACAGCAGTTTCCATGCTCTTTTCCATTTTTCCATTATTACCCTAGTATACTACAGTAACCCTAGAACCCCTTTTCCAATTTACAAGCATTATTGGCTGAGAAACAGGTCTCACAGTTTCTAGAGAATTTTGGTGTCCCACACAGAAGCCATGGACACTAATGGAATCCACGCACACTCAGCCGGAGAGGCCCGACCTCGCCCGACCTCCTGTTAAGGGGTGGCAGGGGTCACGGTTTTCTCTGTAAGTTGATGGGAATGAAGAGGTCTGGCCTAGCTTAGACCTTGGTGGAGTGTAGACATATATCAGGCAGAACAGCATTCCAAGAAGCAACCACACCTGGCACAATTATTAAGCAGTATACTGGAGTTGGGAAATGTTGGGTAGTTCTAGAAATCCGGGTATTCGCTAAATTCAATTATCCCATAAGCTTCACTATTCAACTCCCAAGCCGGGACCCTTAACCGTTGGAAACCCCAAATTGTGTTCAGAGAGACTTCCTGGTCGCTGTGGGGTTGGACGCCAATTCGGGCACCAAAGCAAGGCAACAGTTGTACCAAGGCCTGGGTTGCGACGAAAGCTTAGCGTGCTGGGTGGGGATGAAATGATCCATGCCAGCTACTTGCCAGACACAGTGACTGGAACTGCAAATGCAAGCACGGAAAGGCACAATAACGAAGGAAACAACATCCCAGAAGCGGCAGCAGTCAAACTCTCCAAGAATCCTATAAACCGTAGTTTCCATATCCATTCTCCATTTGAACACCCATGATTCCAAGTAACCAATACCAAATACTCACAGTGAAGCCCTCTCCCATGGGAACCAACATCCTAGAGATGTCGGGCCTCGTTCAAACTTTGAGACACGCTGGCCAGATTATCACCCAGGCACAAAGAGTTTGAAGAGGGCCGCCGCGCGCATAAGAAAGGACGCTTGGCGCATGGTGCAATTGGAAGACCACGACACCTCAAGTCAAAAACCCCTCAAAGACAAAACCCAGAGAGATCTCTCTTGACGGATCGAATGGGCATGAGCTGCCCGAATCTGAGTCATGCTGATGGAGACCAGAATTTTAACAAGTAACAAATGGCAGCCATCACAAACGTTATCATCATCACAGTCAACGCCTACTGGAGTACCGACTTCACACTAGTAATGGCAACACAAATCGCAAATCTAAGTAGGCATAGGGCCCGGTCGTGGGTCCAAGCTTTGGGACTGGCTTGTGGTAAAATGTCAACATGTCAAAATTCTGGGCCATTGTTTGGGAGCCCGCACAGTACGGCTGTAATATTCAGGGTGCCCAAAGAAAAACTACAATTTCGACAACCTACGGGCTTTAGATCTTGCAGCTGATCGGCTCTCAGCGGCCGTCACTCAGACAATTCGCTCCATTCTTGGGTTTCACTTTCAATCCTTCAGGGAGATCTGGAGGGGGAACCCTAGCGGTATTTGTCGTGCTCAGTGCTCAGCTACACTTCTCCCACAACCTTTGATTTCTGGGAGCACGCCAGTCAAGAGACAGAAACACATTGCATGCTTTTGAATGCTCGCGTGTAGATACCGGCTCAACTTAGTTGTGCGATGCGTGGCGCTGAACATGAGTGCCCAGAAGCACTGCCCTAAGCCTCCCTGGAGCCCTCAACACGTCAGAGTGCGTGGCCATGTGCCCTGGGAGGCTCACGGAGTGATGAGGCAGAACTGGCCAACAGCTTGCTAGGCCATTTGGCTAGCTGAGCGATCCCTGCCACGACCCCATAATTTCCAAGAGGCATGCCCAAAATGTTGGAAGTCGCGGGCACGGATCTGGAGATACCACCAGAAAGCGACCCTGTATTGTAGAATTGCTGCTGAAAGTGGCGTTCGAAAGAACGTGCACCGCTTTTCAGTACAAACCTGCCAACTCTTGTGATGTTGATTCCCTGGTAGGATACCAAAACAGAATGACAGCGAAGAAGCTAGCAGGAAGGCGGTGACTTAAGCACGATGAAGGGCATGCGGTGTTTTCTAATTGTGTAAACCTAGAGTGAACAAACTGATTAAACATCTTCAAGCATGCTACCCCTGATATTACGTTCACAACGCTAACCTGAGGGTGAGCGGAAGCTGCACAGGCCAACCTAAACCCTAAACCTTAAACCCTAAACCCTACATCCTAAACCTTAAACCCTTAACTCTAAACCCTAGACCTTAAATCCTAAACCCTAAACTCTACAAACCGTGGTTCGGATCCGTGCATCCAAGGCTCAGTTGCCCACCGCAGGCCGGCTGAGGAGTCTCGAGCCAGATCACTTCGACTGATACATAATATCACCCCTATATAACCCTATATATTAGGTGGACCCCCCACCCAGTAAGAGTGACTTTGGGGATAATAAGGATTATAGAGTGGGGGCTCCTCCTAAACCCTATATATTATGGTAGTTTCCATGTCTTTTCCATTATCCCAATATAACCCCAATATAACACCTCTCTGTCCCAAGGTTCACAGGTTTACAACATGGATTCTTGAGCTTACAGCTGAGGGCGCTAGGTTTCATTTCACGCGGCTGTTGCGGGACGAACTGCGTGACATGTCGGATGCGCTCCGCACTATCCGAGCATCGGCTCGAGAGGCTCTTGCTGTTGAGAAGCCACTTTAGCCAGGTTATCTAATACCCCTACCCTGAACCTCCTGTCAACTTGTTCGCGGAAGCTCGGGTGGGGCAAGAGGAAAATGCAACTTGGTGACAGGTAGCCCATCTACTTTGCTAGGCTGGGAGCTTGGAAATGCAGCAGGTGTTGAAACCTAAGCTCACGATTCAGGACTACCTGTGACAAACCTTAAAGAAGCCTGAAGCTACTTGACAAACCTTAAAGAAGGTCGCCTTAACGGCATCCTCCAGACTTTGAAGGAACTAGTTTAAGGCTCTCTGAAGTCCTAGAACACGGATCCAAGCATGTAGAGCCTGGATCAAAACCCTCCGCTCTCACCAGGACAAGTCCTTCACGGCAGGGAGAGGGCCTCCAGTCTTCTTCTTGTAGGCGCGCCCCTCACCCTCATAGGCCGCCACGATCTTTGCCTCGAAGGCCTTCTCCATCTCTGCAGAAGGTGGCACCTTCACAAACACCTTGCTACCCTCAACCTTGGTTTGGAACGTGGAGAGGTTGAGGCTGGAGTTTGCGATGCCTTCGCCTGTTCGGAGGTTGTAGGTCGTTTTGTAGATGGGATCCGCAATCGTCAGCACTCCAGAAGGCTGCTGGCCGACCAAACCCCTGGAGACGACTCGCGCCTGCTTGCAGGGGCAAAGGTTCTGAGTTGCAATCCACTGATCCTCGGAGCTCTGGTCTGGAAGGTGGAAGACGGCGAGCTCCTGAGTGCCATGTTTGACTGCAAGGCCGCCATTATTCGGGTAGTCGGCCACATCACCAGCAAAGATCCACTCCCAGCTGTCTGGTGCAGTCTCCTTGGTGTAGAGTGCAGGGCCGGTGATGTCAGCGGGGCTGTACGTGTTAGGATGGCGCTGCCCTCGCATGTCGACATACTCGATGTGCTCAGAGTCGTGGGTCTCATTGGTGTTGGCGAACTGCTTGAACTTCTTTCGCAGGTCATCATCGTAAGCAACCTGCTTCCACTCGCAGTGGAAGTTGTCACGGTTACGATCCATCATTGCCTCAAGGTCAGCAGCGATTCCCAGCGAATCCTCAATTACCACCTTCTTCAGGTACTCGATGCCGCCCTCGAGCTCGGCCAACCACGGTGCGGTTCGCTGCAAGTGCTTGGCCGTGGTGATGTAGAACATGAGGAAACGATCCACGTACTTTAGGACGAGATCCTCCTGCAGGTCTGTGGCAAGAAGCTTTGCATGAGCGGGCTTGGCACCACCATTGCCGCAAACGTAGAGGTTGTACCCAGCCTGCGTAGCGATGACGCCAACATCCTTCCCCTGTGCCTCTGCGCACTCCCGGAGACAGCCCGAGGCAGCCATCTTAATCTTGTGGGGGGCCCGGAGACCCTTGTAGCGATTCTCCAGAACCACAGCCATGGTCACGGAGTCCTGCTGTCCGTAGCGGCACCAAGTGGTACCAACACAGCTCTTCACGGTTCGGAGTGACTTACCGTAGGCCTGACCCGTCTCCATGCCAGCATCCACGAGCTCCTTGTAGATGTCGGGCAGATCCTGAACCTGCGCGCCATACATGCCCAAGCGCTGTGCGCCAGTGATCTTTGTCCACAAGCCATACTTCTTGGCCGTCTTCGCAAAGGCCATGAGCGTGTCGGGTGTGATGTCACCACCAGGGCAGCGCGGGATGACGGAGTAGGTGCCTGTCTTCTGGATGTTGGCCAGGAAGCGGTCGTTGGTGTCCTGAATCTGATCGCGATTCTTCTGCAAGGCATGCTCATTCCACAAGGAAGCGAGAATTGATGCGCAGACTGGCTTGCAAACTTCGCAGCCATCGGTGCCCTTTCCGGCTACCTTGAGGATTTCCTCAAAGGACTTTAGCTCCTTCACCTTGATGATGTCAAAGAGCTCCCTACGGGTGTAGGGAAAGTGGGGGCAGATACCTGTCGCCCCTGCCTTTCCCAGCTTCTTCAGCGTGTGCGTCAGCAACTTCGGAATCTCGCCCACCGGAGTCATGCAGCCGCCACAGCCTGTACCGGCCTTGCACACTTTCTTGATCTCTGGCAGGGTATAGGCCTCCTTGTCGATGATCGACTGCCTGACCTGCGCCTTCGTGAGCCCGATGCACGTGCAGATCATGTCGTCATCTGCGAGACCTGTGCCATCTCCACCATCCACGTTGGCCCCGGCGACAGCGCCGGGAGGGGGTCGGCGGAAGGCCAAGGAAGCGGGGTCGTTGTCGCCCAAATCGTCCTTCTTGCTAAGCTGAAGAAGCTTCGAGTAATCCTTGGCGTCGCCAACCAGGACACCGCCCATGAGTTTCTGACCATCCGAGGAAAAGCACAGGCGGCGGTAAGTGTCACTGACCTCATCCTTGCAATCGATAAACTTGATGCTCGGATCTTTGCCACCAAACTGGCGCTGGAACCAAAACTCTGAGCTGCGTCCAAAGGAGGCGACCTCAACGCCCAAAAGCTTCAGCTTGGTGCTCAGATCGGAATGGGTGTACTCCATCTTGCCAGGCTCCAGCAGATTCTGCACCAACACCTCCGCCTGATCTACCCCAGGTGCCCAAAGGCCGTAGCAGAACGAGCCGCCAATGGCTGCCACCTCACCGATGGCGTAGATGTCCTTGTCCGACGACTGCAAATGTCCATCTACCTTCACGCCGCCGCGAGCACCAAGTTCCAAGCCGCACTTTTTGGCCAACTCGTCACGGGGGCGGACGCCGCACGAAACGATGATAAGATCTGCATCAAGGATTGTTGGCTCTGCGGCTCCCTTTTCTTGGAACTCTATGCCCTTCACAATATTGCCGTCAAGGACAACCTTCTTGATCTGCACGCCGCAGTGCACGCCCACGCCCAAATCTTCAATCTTCTTCGTCAGGACCTTGCCAGCAGCCTCGTTGAGCTGAGTGGGCATGAGGTATGGAGCCATCTCCAGGACGTGACTGTCCAGCTTCAGGTCGAACGCTGCCTTTGCTGCCTCAAGCCCTAGGAGACCTCCTCCGATGACGACCGCCCGCTTCGCACCGTTCTTGACCGCTGCGAGCAGGGATTCTAAATCCTCAATGGTGCGGTAGACGAAGACGCCCTCAGGGCGGGAGGCCGGATCATCCGGCCAATTCACGTTCTTCTTTTCCGGCAACGTCATGCCTGGAATGGGTGGCACGAAGCAAAAGCTGCCAGTAGCCAGGACCAGCTTGTCATAGCCAACATTCTCAGACTTGTCGGAGCCATTGATCGTGTAGGAAACCTTCTTAGCCTCAGGATCGATGTCCGTGGCGCGGCCGTAGATCAGTTTCACATTGAGGCTCTTCAGATCTTCCTCGCTGATGTAGGAGAGCTTCATCTTGTCGTGCTTCGCAGCGTCACGGTCCTCAAAGTACTGAGTGAGCATGACGCGGTTGTAAGCTGGCCGGGGCTCCTCGCACAGCACGGAGATGTCGTAGTTGGCCTCAGTTGCCACAAGCTTCTCGATGAAGGAGTGGCCAATGGGACCATGGCCCACGACGAGGATGGACTTCTTTGCCATTGTGAGGTAGTCAGCAGCGCCTCCAGGGATGAGGGAAGATGACGTGGTCCGTAGACCAAGAGGCGCACTGAGCTCTGTCAACCAAGATTGCTTGAGCCGAAGCCATTTCGGGCTCTAGGTTAAGGGTTTGGGCTCAGGGCTGAAGCTAGCGGACCTCAAAAATACAAGCCTTTGAAGGAATAGTTGGTGACCGGTCGCTTCTTGAGACCTTCATTAAAATTCCTATATGCCCTTCCAGATTCTCCACTTCTGAAGGCTAGAATGACGGCTTTGGATGATCGTAATCACGCCATTTTCTGTTGTCAGCACCACCCTGAGGAGGAGGTGCACGTACTTAAAGAGAATGACTAAGGCCTAGGCTCTCGCCTAACAGCTTCCTGCCAATCCAAGTCAAAACCCAGTTAAACTTCACTGCGTGTTCATAGCAGGATGGTAAAGTCAACCAGCAGTGAAGCTAGCGTGTTACCTTGATAACGCGAAGCCCCCCCAGCCCCGGAGATTGCACTTTCTTTGAAAACAGAGGAACGGAGTGCTGGACGAGGACGTAAGGCAAAGTTTATACTAAGTTCAAGATGTTCCTCTAGGTGCAAAACAGGATGCTCATGTTGTTTCGCTGCTTTGCCTCCGCTTGCGGCTCGAGATCCGAGTGACAGAGACAGACTTGTGCTGGACATGCAGAAGTTCTCAGGCCTAGCGTGTGGGAACTTCCGCCTTAGGGCGCTCAATGCCTCACTGGCAGACCTGCATCCGGAAGTACTCCTTGACTACTTTCGTGTGGCGAAGCACGCGACATTTGCCTGAGTTTTTGTCTGTTCTCCGAAAATGTTGAAAGACTAGGTAAGCAGAACTCTCCCACTTCAAATTCCGTGAGGCCAGAAGTGTATCTTCTAGGATTTCCTGGAGTCCTCCATGCGAAGCTGCCATCACATGCCGCCACCCTCTTTCAGCAGTCTCTTGGGCCACGACTCACTGTTTTCCGTATGGAAATGAAATCATATGATGAACCTCTTGTCTGAATTGATTCTGCGCCGTTGGTCACTATACTGTTCGCATTGATCTTGAGCTCAAATAGCTCAAATAACAAACCAGGATGCATACTCCATCGGGATAGCTTTTGCTCTTCATGCATGGTCTTCTTCATAAACCACAGCCTGTTTCAGTATGCAACGAACACGAAGGGCACCAGGCTCACAACATCCCGGAAGCGGCAACAGTCAAACTCTCCCAAAATCACATAAATGATAGTTCATGTTCATTGTTCATCTGAACTGCCATCATTCCAAGTAACCAATACCAAATAGTCACAGTTGAGCCCTCCCCATGGGAACCAACATCCTCTGAAATCCCTTGAAGCCCTGCAGGTGCAGCTGCCACAAATCAGCCCAGCAACAGCAAGGGTTGCACACGAAGCTTGGGCCTCACAGGCACTGGCCACCCGAGAGCACCAAGGTACCAGTTCCAGCTACACAGCTCTGAGAAGAGCAGGTTGTTTAGGGCTTTGGGTCTAGGGCTGCGTGGAAGAGACCCGATTCAAACCTTCTCACGCGCAAGATTTGATTCCTCCTTGGAGGCTGCGGTTCCTTCGGGAGCAATGACGGCAGGCCCAAACGGCACGAACATGAAACCGAGAGTTTTCACTGATCTATTGCCAGCGGCCTGGATGGGAATTGAGGCTTTTGGGGACTTTAAGAATTATAGGGATAATGTTGGCAGATCTTAAACCTGAACCTCCTCCATTTTCTCATGGTGTTTCGGGCTTTTCCAGGTAAGGATGTTGCATGGCGGAAGCACTTGGGACACAGAAATCCCATGGCACGCGATCGACCTTCACACCAGATCGCTAAACCTACCTCATCTCCCTAAGTCTTTCTCCCAAATACTGGGGTTTCCCAAAATTACGGATAACTTTTTGGGGGGTTGTATAAGGAATATAATAGTTTGGGGTCTATATTGGGGTCCCCCTATTGGGGCCATTACCTCCTCAACTCTCCTAATACTTCTTCCCAAACATGCTCCAATGCCCCCTAGCCCTAACATGAAATACTCTCAAGAGAGGACGGAGCATGTTAGGGAAGATGCGTGGGAAAAGGGATAACAATCAAACGCATGTACGCGCACACACCCCAGCAGACAGGCCAAGAGTTCTCTGCCCAGGCGTTAGCACCACTTCTTACAGATCTAATCTAATCATAAGATTAGCAATAAGAATAGGAATAATAATGGTAATAGCAATAAAAATAGTAATAGTAAAAGTCATAGTAATCTGTAGTAGTAGTAATAATAATGGGAATAGTAATATTAACCATACTAATAAGAGTAATCGTGCCCCGTTGGTGTGAAAGGATGCGCCTCTACACGGATCTCAGGGATAAGCGGCAAACCCTGAGTCTAAGCGTTGAAGACCCCAGATCCCTCCCAACCAATCGCCAAGAGACAAGGGCCGCAATGGAAAAGTCCAACGGCTTTCTGTGGCTTGTCCTGGAATTTGGGGGGTTGCCCACAATAAGGGGTTCCTTTTGGGGGGGTCCCTGTAATGAGGACTGTAGTATTTTGGGGTCTATATTGGGGTCCCCCTATTCTGGGAAACTACCGCATCTGGAGTTGGCGGTTTCTCAAAGGCAAGGCTTGTGCCCACTTTGTGATGATGAAGGTCTCAAGATGCTCTGATGCTGCAAAATTTCCCCACAGAGTATGGTCACAAAATGACAAGCCTCTGAAAGACACCAAAGTGCGTCCAGCACTCTTTAATCAGAGAATAGACGTTCAGAAGAGATTGGGACTTCTGGTCTGACGTAAGCTTAAAACAGATGTAAAGAAGATATTCCCTGATGTGGTCCCTGTGGTCTAGGGGAACTAGAGCTTGAGACTTTGCAAGCGAAAGGCCAAATTCAGGAACCCTCAATATATTGACTCAAGTGAGGGAGCAAGTCTGTAAGTCTGCAAGATGCCATGCCCTTCTGGTAAGCTAGCACACCCAGCAGGCTAACAACAAAGGGGCTTCTGAAGAACCTGGTACCCTCGAAAAGGGAAACAAGCATTGCAGGGGAGCCCAGTGAGGTTATGGATAAACTTTCACTATGACCGAGTTGAGTCTTCTGGTGAATAGTAATGCCTCACATAATGTCCAGCGCTCAGCAGCGCAATGCCAATGCCAAGCAAGTGCCGAAGCCGGATACTGCATGAAGCAAGTGTCCGCACAAAACTCACGTCGGAATGGCAGGTCTCCGATGTCCCTTCCCCACTGCCTTGTCGTGTGCAAGAAAGTCCGAACAGCAATCAAGGTCTCTTACCATTCTTCCAAAAGTCATTGTCACTTCAGGCACCGATGCAACACAGTAACTGCAAAGGATACTAATAAGAACAATTGTGGCTGATTGGTCAGGCTGCGACATGCTGATGAACCCGTGTTGGATCAGGGGTCTGTGCTTTCTGATTGCGGAATCTTCACATAGATGTCTGCTGGAAACAGGGTTAACAGGCTTTGCTTAAGAGCTGCTAAATCAAGGGAACATACCGATAATAAGGCCACAGGCAAGACAAAGAGGGGGTCCCCCACCGAGAAAAGACAGAGAGTGAGAGAAGAAGAGGGAGGGAGAGAGAGAGAGAGAGAGGGAGGAGAAACAGAGATCGGAGGACGGAGACAAAGATAGATAGAGAGAGATAAGGCGAGAGAGGCAGATAGAGCAAATAGAGAGAGAGAGAGAGGGAGCGAGTGAGAGAGAGAGAGAGAGAGAGAAACACACGATTGGTTTTAACGCGCTTTAATACTTTTGGGATCCAGGTTCATATGGTTTTTAGTGAGCCTCCGAAAACAGCGTTAGAGGGAGAGAGCGAAACGAGAGAGAGAGAGAGAGAGAGATAGAGAGAGAAGAAAGAACACACCAAGGAAGCAAGGAGGTAGATCCTGTCGGGCACGAGAATTCTTGTGGGTGATGTTGGGGAGTTTACCGCGTCTCCTGGCAAATTACAAGCCAAGCTTCTCGAACAAACACGCTGGCGTGGGCTGAGTGGCTCCCCGTTCAGTGGGAGACAATGCTGCCATCGACTGAGCCTGTCTTTCCAATAGATGATTAGTGATGAACATACGCTTCCGGACGTAGCAGGAAGAAACATATGGAGCTGTTGGCTTGGAATCAGTCTGAAGCTATCAACACCTGCACACGGGGACGACTACTTATCCATCGTTTCAGGTTGTGCTCCGTTGCTGAGGTCCTATTGAAGCATAGTATTTGTGGGGCGAGTGCTGGGGCAAAGCATGACATAACAACCCTCAACTTTGGCGGTGGCTGATGAAGTCCGAAGCGCCAGCTCTATGTCGGCTGGAGGTAGCTTTGCCTGTGCCATTGAGTGCTCAATTATGGCGACCACACTATGCTTGCCCGCAGCTGCTATCAATGCATAACATCGGGCCGCCACCAAATCCCGGTTAGGGGGCCCTTCCCACTGCACATTCCCTTTATCAGCGTCCACGATCCCATGAGGGCAAATCAGTTGCGGCTGAAAGCGCGAGCACGGTGATGCTTCCAATAGAATCTCGTCCTCCCCCTCTAGCTGTCTGCTTGTCTGCCTGTATGTCTTTCTCTCCGATTGTCTGTCTGCCTGCTTGCCTGCCTGTCTGTTTGTCTGTGTTTCTTTGTTTCGTCCTCTTCTTCTTCTTCTTCACCCGTTCTTTGCCTTGCTCTGCTTTGCTTTGCAGGGACTTCACCCATCGCCTCTGTCTCTCCCTCTGTCTGTTCCTCTTTGGGTCTGTCGGTCTGTCTGTCTCTATCTCTGTCCCTGTCTCTGTCTGTATGTTTGACTGCGTGAAGCTAGACTGGCAGCATGAATCACAAGTCAACGGCTTCATGATGCTAGAGAATCCGGATGGTGATCACACTGTGCACGACTGCCTTAACCATTGGCATAGCCAAGCTGCACCACATGCACTGGCACTCAGCGTGCCTCTGCCCTTATTCAGCTTCTGACATGACACTCTCCAGATATGCCAAACTCGCACCGCGCACCATCGCTACCAGTGCGCGATGGACACAACGTTATCAATTAGCCTTATCGGGGCCATTGCCGAGCTTTCTTGCCCTCAACGTTGCCGGGCTCTCGGATCATCCAGCCAGCGCGATCCAATCTGGAGAGTCAAGAGCATGGTGGTGCACAGATTATGGCCAGCAGCCTGGAGCGATGAGTCACTCCAGAAAGTCATTGAGTATAACTCGCACATCCTGTGCTATCACATGTATGATTCGGAGTAGCTGTGCATAGCTGCTCGTCTGATGCCCAGCGCTCGAGGGGTGGCATTGGCACCGTGGGGGCCAGGTAGCGCAAGGAACGCATTCGAATCTTCTGCAAACTTAAAGGTCAAAAGCTGGCTCCTTCTCTCTTCTTCTTCTTCTTCGGGCTTTAAGGGGTCCTATGACCCCTTGCAGGCAGAGCCGCAGCCCACGCAGGCGCGCAGATGTCTCAGTCAGGTCCCTCTTTCTTTCTCTCTCTCTCTCTCTCTCTTCTTTTGTGGGTCATGCAAAGCCCTGAGCCCCTGCGGGAGCTAGGCCCCAAACCCGCGAGGTTCGGTCACTCTCTCTCTCTCTCGCTCTCTGCTCGCAACATTGCTCTGATCGCTACTGCCAAGTCCGCAAATCACCCAACGCTCCTTGCCACCAGCGGCAAAGTCCACTGCGATGATGTCCTTGATTCTTGGGGAGAACCCAGGCTATGGTGCAAATGGTATAGACCTTAGGCATCTAGTATGAAGGGTTAAGTGGTCAGACCGTTGGGATGAAGGAAGCTAAGAGTTCTGGGCCTGCCAGGGGCCTTATCAGGGCTTTTACTTTTCTCTTAGACTGTCGTCAATGTAGCAGTATTAGGCTAACTAAGCAACATAGCGCTGCGATGCAATAACACCTTGCAAAGTTTACATGAAGGCTGGAAGATTAGCCGTGTGAGTCAGTGAGGTAGGCGCGCAAGAGTTTAGTTTCTCCAGGCTTTAGGCATCCCAAGAACAATGTAGATTGTAACGGTGCAGGACGTCCTGCGGCGGTGCACCCGCAATATTCACACCCCTGGACCCCCGACCGCAAAAATCAAGCCAACAAGGCTTGAGAAACAGCTTGGCCAAGCCTGACTATACTTCTTACGCTGCTGAATTGTCACAGCAACGCAGGTGGTAAGAATCCCGCTTGGGAACGTGATTGTGAGCCTCTTGACCCCACAAAGTCAGCCAAATTCTGACAACTTCAAGCCCCAAAGTCCTAAATCCAGAACCCTGCACTGAGGGTGGAGAATCAAATCAAAAAAACAAGTATCAACAACCAAAAGGTGAGGAAAAACACCACATAGGCATCCACAAAATAGGCACTGGCGTAGTAGAACGAAGCTAAATCCGGTGATCGACCAAAAACTAAAAGCGACTTAAAACTCATGAAAACTCATAAAAATGATGAATATTGATGAACAACCATTAAAGCTGATGAGCAACAATGAAAATGGTGAAATGATGAAAATTCAGGCGCGACAATGAAAGCAATGAAAAGTGATGCAAAGTCATGAAACATGACAAAAATGATGCAAAATCAAAAACATAATGATGAAACATGATGAAAATAATGGGAATACTCAAACTGATGATACCCATAAAAAATGACGAGAAATTATGACAAGTCATGAGGCTCCTCAAAATCATGACAAAATACCGAAAAGGCTGGCAAATGATGAAACATTATGGGAACTCGGGAGAACTCAAGAAAACTTATGAGAAATACAGGAAATTCATGAATACAATGGAAATTCATGAACCAAGATGCACAACCATGAAAACAATGAAAAACACTGCTGAAAAACGTAAAAAAACCATGCACCATGATGAGACATGATGGGAAATTATGGAAAACATGAAAAATGCAACAAAACATGTAACGACACATTGTGAAAAAGCTGAAACGTCATGAAACTGATTCAAAATGATGAAACAACACCATGAACATAAAATAACGAGAAAAAAAAGACCATAGACTTCATGAGACATCATGAGAAACAGTGACAAACGATGAAAAACATGACAGGTGACAAAAGAAAATAATTGTCTATGAATAGATGAATAGATACGAAGGAAATTTATTAACCATTGGGGGGGGGGGGGGTNNCCCCCCCAATTGCAAAACCTGGACAAAGATTTCAACATGCTTTTTTCCGCCGCGTTTGATCTGGCAAGGTGATGTGATCGATGATTAGAAGGGGATGAACATGATCAAAAATGCTTGCGTAGTAGAACTAAGCCAAACCTGGAGATCAAAAAAAAGCGGTTGGCGTAGTAGACACAGCTAGGGTTACAAGCATATGACAGCACTCGCGTGTTAACACGTTTTACAGCTTAGGACATGTTCGCAAGAGCGATTACACAGCAAAGCAAACCTCTGTTGAACTAGGCTTTGCTCTTGAAACTTCCTTGAGGCCTGTTTCCCTGGCATCCTATGCTTGTTGTTGCTTCAACTCTTCATGTTGTACTTAGGTTCTCTCTGTCCTTTCAGTCTGTCCTGCTTTGGTTTATTTGCTTTCTTTGTTTCACTGGTTCTTTTCTTGTTCTTCCTTTATTCGGTTATTTCATTCTTTCTCTCTTTCCTTCGTTCGTTTCTTTCCCTCTCCGGCTCGGAGATCCAATTTGTTTTTTGTTTTAAATCCCTGCTGGGACGGCTACTACTATTGAGCTTTATTACTAAATTCATTTGTTTGATACCTATTTGTTTTGTTGATGCCTATTTGTTCTTTTAATCCCTCTCCCCTGGCCTGCAACTCCTTGATGATGTCGGGGACGCTCGGGCGAAGCTCGTATTTCAGCAACCTACTTGCAGGGCTATCTTCAGCTTGCCATTGAATTGGCGCTTGATATCTCGTGAGTTGAGATCGAAGGGTTGGAAGCCATGCCGTTGTGCGAACCAGACTTTCGCATTTGCATAAAGTGAGGGGCATCAACATAACCTTAGAGAAGCCCTGTGGTCGGTAGGGTCTGTAAGCGTGATACAAAACGTGACATGCAACAGCGCGCCAGGCTGCCAATAAATGGTGCACTTTGGAAGCTCATGTGCGAAGAGTGCCTTTCGAGAACTTCCCCATGGCCCAACCTTTCCCGCCCCCAAGCGCCATCCAAGAACATAACATAGCCCAAAACTCCATAAACCCTAGACCCTGTACATCCCTGTACCATCAAACCCTGAATCCGATAAGGAAGAGCCGAGCAGCATTTGAACCACAAGCTTGTCTGTCCGTGTCTGGTTCTCCGGTGGGGGGATTGTTGTGTCGTTGAGTGGGTTGTAGCCGATGACGTGCTCGCCAGATCGATCATTCTGGTATGGAGGAGGTTCTTAGCGCAGATGTCAATCAGTCAGGCAAGCGCAACGGTCAACACGAGCGCCCCCTTGCGCAGCCCAACGCCTGCCCCCTTTTCATTGAGGCACAGGGTCACTACTTTGAGTCCAGGAGGCTAGAACCTAGAAGTTAACCGTCATACCAGCCTGGAAATAAGGTAACACCCGGGCTGGAAGTGCATGTAAAGACTCAAGGTTACCTTCCGAAGTTACTGGGGTCCATCTCGGCGGACACCCTGCAGGCAGATTCTAACGGGCATCCGGCTCTTCCTGTATAAGAACGGATCCTTATTATTAGGGCTGAGGGGCCGAAGCAACCCAAGCCCGCACAGGTAAACTTTCAATACCTGGATCTGCAAATCCCAAGTGAGAGGGTCTCTGCCATCACTACCCGCACGATTTTTCTATTCATGTCCAGTCCGCCCATATCAGACGCGGAATGTCCTAGTCCACTACGACTCCTTGCCCACGCAAAACTCCTAACCGCCCAGCGGCGCTTGTACAGAAGCAGATAGAGGATGGTACCCAAGGCCCATACATCGCGCGAAGGACGAGATATAGCCTCCTCATCTTGCAAGTAAACCTCAGATTTTGGAGACGGTGCTCGTTCAAGATTGGTGGTGGGAAGGCTGGCGTAACACGAGGAGGAGGAGGAGGGAGGAGGAGCAGTAGCCATTGTAGCGGCTGTGTTCTTGGTACTGCTAATACTGTTACTACAACTGGCGGTTGTCGTTGTAACGCCTAGTAGTACTAGAGCTTAGTACCATTGCGGGCGCTACTGCGGAATGTGGCAAGCATGCCTCTTCTAAAGCAACTCCTTGCTGCCTGGTGAATGCATCGATACGCCGCAACGAGGGGGATTCTGCCAAAGGGACATGCCATGCATGCGAGGGGGTGGTGAATTGGCAGTTGTGCACCAGGCCACTTCTGGCTTGAATTTCTGTGAGAATATCCTGTGTCCCCAGACTGACTCACCAGAGTCTCAAAGCCACGCATGCTCGTTCTGGTGTGTGCTGTTTGCTTCTGGACTTGTGCAGGCGCCACAACGTTGGCACCTTGCGCTGTAAACGGAAAGTGTCATTCATGCTGTGTTGGCAGCCAAAGCAACCTCGGGAGCCATGTAGCCTGGCGAGCCAGAAATCCAGCAGTCATCCGGATCTGACATGTTGCACACCAAGCCGAAATCAATGACCGCTGCGAAGCATTTTTTGTCCTCGCAAGTTTTTTCATGAGGGCAACTTTCATGCTTCTCACCCCATGTGCAGTCAACCCTGACTCTTCCCCATCTTCTAGTGTAGGGGTTGCTACAGGTATATTGTGGCAGTATGAGGCTCCTCGCAGTTTAGCATGACATTCTCCGGCTTCAGATCTGTGTGGAGCATGCCTCTCTCGTGGATGGCATCCACACCCTTGACCACATCCAAAAACAAGGCCAGGACGTAGGCCTTGGTTGTCGCAAGGGACTGAGCCCTTTGGGAATTTATGAAGAATCGGTCAACCTAGATTTGCTATGATTTTTGGCTCTCCCACCTTTATACTTTATACGTGTTCCATACTGAACCTCAAGAGTTGGAAATGCACACCTCAGCCTGCACGGCCAAGCCCCTGCAGCGCAGAAGAAACTGCTGGAATCTAAGAGGCCATGTGAGCCATAGTCTAAAGCTAGTATTCCCCTTTGATAAACTTCTAGAATAATTCCCTATATACTCCCCTATCGGACGGAAGGCTCCGGTAGATGTGAAAATGTCCGTGTATCACAAAAAGAGGCACTTGGTACAGAAAAGAAAGTGCTTTTTCACCTGAGAGGCCATCGAGAGGCCTTTCACCTTCGACCAGCACAAGTGGTAACCTTTGCACCCGCTGTTGCTGGAGCAGCCAGTGCTGCCCTCGCATCCTTGAGATGAGATTTGCTCTTGTTGGAGTGGAAAAAGCAAATGGAAACTTACATGGAAACTGGTTTGTTGGGATATGCAATTACAAAGGTTTGAGCGGACATTACCCCCATAATGGAGAAACACATGAGTAGCATGAACAACGAAATCGAAAGTGGGGCTAAACAGTGGTTTGTAGGGTTGATACAATGCCAGAATTCCCAAAAGAATTCATAAGGTACTCACATCCTTGACAGGTACTGCCGAAGGTTCTTGCCACCACCACGTTTGCTGCTACCCTTTTTTCTGCGCTCGCTGGTGCCATTGTTGTTGTTGGCTGTATTCCGGGGCCCGGTCGGAACGTGACAAGGTGAGGAGATGGAGATGAGGAGTCTGGCAGACCCGGCTGCGCTGGTTGGGACCAAGGTAGAAAGAAGCTGGACAGTGTCCTCTGCTGGAAAAAATAACACAGGTAGAAACTTCAGCACGCCAAAACCATTCAATAATTAGGTTCAAGTAGACAAGCCGGAGCTTGGCCGGGTGCAGCGGGCAGAACCAGGCAGAAGCAGCTAGACAAAAACGGGGAACAACAAACTAGAAAAGGAAGCCACAGGTAGGATAAAGATGTGGTTTCAAGTGCCCCCGGTATGAAGGTAATAGCCACGTGGTTTATGGAGAAGGCCAGATTCCTGGTACTTGGGTGGGATCAGCCAGCATCCTGGCTCTGGATGTGCTGCTGTTCAATCCGCATGGCAAGTTGAATGCGGAGCCAAACTTTGCATCAAAGAATGTCTGTAAGGTCTAGGTTTTAGGGATTAGGGTTCTGGTTGCGGAAAAATGAGGCTGCTGCTTGTTCGAGAGGTTCTTGGAGAGTTAGTTGCACAGCTAATCGCATCGCACCTTGGCTATATGTAGCTTGAAGGTATGCGTGTCAAGAACACGCGCCGAACACATGTAGGCCGTGAAACCCCATCGCCCAGTGAAGAACTCTTTCTTGCTTTCTGATTATAGTCCCCATTAAGTAGATAGCATATGGCTTTGGGTATATTATAATAAGACCCCCATACACCCCATATTCTATCTACTTAAGGGGTACTATACCTTTTAGCTGACTTGTCCCCACCTGTGACTGTGGGCGTGAACTTAATCTACCTTTCTGTTTCATACTTCCTGCGCTGCGTCCGCAGATGCTGCTTTCTTGCAATCCTATTGCTACGACGTCCAGGACAAACACAAGGAAGAAACAAGAATAGAGGAGGGGAGGAGCAAAAGGAGAAGGACGTCAGCCAAAGGCAGTGCTGTTATTGTAGGCACGACTGAGACCAGGGCGCAACCATACTGGTCTATTTCGATACTATGAACTTATCTTACTACCACACTCCTGCTATTGCAGTTCGGCCCCCACTCAAAGACTTGTGGATGTTTACTGAAACGTACGAGCAACCAGCAGCAAAAGTCTCACACTCCAAGACACGCAGTGTCTTGCACAACCAGATTCAACAGTTTGGCGATTTCTGAAAACTAGGGTTCAGAAATGCGGGCAACATCTGCATGTATCCCAGTACGCACCTGCATGATCCTTGCAGCCCCCTTTAGAGAGACGCCCTGCGCCACAACGTTTGCAACCCAGGATCTGCCGATGAGGCTGAAGAGGTCGCGGCCGTTCATGTACGGCATCCTTATTTCGCATCATGTCTTTGGCCTCCTACTAGCGGGTTCTGAACTGCAGCTTCATACTAGGCTGATACATGCTGATACCTTTTCATTTTTACATGTCTAGTCCCCCTTAAGTAGATAGAATATTGCTTTGGGTATATCATAATAAGATCCCCACATACCCCATATTCTATCTACTTAAGGGGGACTATAGGATTCTGCAAGGGTCTCTGGAATAGCTGGCCTAGCCGGAATCCTCAGAATGGCCGAGAATTGAAATCCAAGAAAGTTGTCAACCGTCGTCCCATAGCTAACCCCAAACCCAAGATTTGCGGGGAGCTCCTACTCAAGAACAATAAGTTGCAAAGCCATACTTACATGTTTATATAGTAATACTGAATATAGCAAGAACAAGGTAACACGTCCTTGAATGA